TTCGGGAAGTACAGCCGTCGTTGGGCCTTCTTGACGAGCTGTGTGCTGTTATGTGTCCAGGTGAGGTCCTCACTGATGTGGACGCTCAGGTATTTGAAGCTGCTCTGAGAGTAGAGAATAGAGGATAGATTTAGGTGGAAGCAGATGATTCGCTGTGGCGACCCCTAATGGGAACAGCCGAAAGTAGAAGAAGAAGAAGAAATTATTGTAGGCAAAATATATTGCACATCCTTATCTACAGTTATCTATTCATCTGTCATGTGATGAAAATAGGATTAACTAATAAGCCAAAAATTGATGATTATTTTCATGATCAATTAATCTATTAATTGTTTAACTTTATATAATGTCAGAAAATAATGAAAAATTAGATGCTGGTGTCATCCACTGTCTTATCCAAAACTCAAGGATATTTTGATGAGATTTGAAGGCAACAATGGTGTGACTGTTAACAGACTGTGGCCACTGGTTTGCCTATCAAATAAATATAGAAATTCAATTATATGTTTATTATTGAGGGGTTATAGTTAAAGGTGTTGTGGTACTGGACTACATTATATTTAGCGGTGTCCTGCCCAGCTACATACATGAGAGGGTCAGAATATTAGGAACACCTCTGAATATAATGTCCAGTACCACACCACCTTTAACTATGACCTCAATAATAAACATATACGGTAATTAAATTTCTACATTTATGACACCAAAACAAACATGAGCTTCAGGATTCCTTTTATCGTCATTCAGCACAAACATCAAGGATGTAGAGCAGAATGAACATTATCTTAGTCAGGCATAGCCCTGATCTTCACACATTGTGTATGTAATGATTAACTTGAGACATAATGATGTTGATGTTTAACCAATCATTGGCACCAGCCCTGCTGCTTGGACATATTTCAGATTCAGAATCAGAACCTGCTTTATTGGCCAGGTGTGTCGGACACACGAGGAATTTGACTCTGGTACATCGGCTCTCAATGTGCATTTACATATCCCCATGCAAGGGGCAAGTAAACAGTAAACCAACATAAGGCTGTGTAATATAACAAAATAAGCAGTATTAACAGCAACAAACAGTGCAAACAATGCAAAATAAGCAGTATAAACAGGTAGTAAACAATGCAGACAGACAAGGAATGCTCAGTGTGTAGTGGTTAAAAACAAACAAGGTACCAGTCCAGAGGTAATATGTAATAGAATAGTATGTAGTTCATATATAGATATTATTTGTAATAGTTATGTAAGGGTGAGCTAAGTGTTTATGTAAGCTTGATCTGTTTTTCTTCTCTTCTCTTGCTCAAGAAAGCATATCTTGGCTTGTGTCTTTCTTGTTTCGCAGTAGGCATCAAATATAGCACAAAACACAACGCCATATGATGATGATTTTATGTGAAGCAGGGCATTTACCTAGGGGTTACTCTGATTCATTCAGTGTAACAAAAACAATACAAATTGGAGATGAGAGGTGTGTTTAGGCAGTTAGCCAAGTTGTTAAGAAGGAAGGAAACGAGATGTGAG